TGTCCTTCAGGGAGCACGCTCCCCTTCCCTCTAGCTGTGTCCTTCAGGGAGCACGCTCCCCTTCCCTCTAGCTGTGTCCTTCAGGGAGCACGCTCCCCTTCCCTCTAGCTGTGTCCTTCAGGGAGCACGCTCCCCTTCCCTCTAGCTGTGTCCTTCAGGGAGCACGCTCCCCTTCCCTCTAGCTGTGTCCTTCAGGGAGCACGCTCCCCTTCCCTCTAGCTGTGTCCTTCAGGGAGCACGCTCCCCTTCCCTCTAGCTGTGTCCTTCAGGGAGCACGCTCCCCTTCCCTCTAGCTGTGTCCTTCAGGGAGCACGCTCCCCTTCCCTCTAGCTGTGTCCTTCAGGGAGCACGCTCCCCTTCCCTCTAGCTGTGTCCTTCAGGGAGCACGCTCCCCTTCCCTCTAGCTGTGTCCTTCAGGGAGCACGCTCCCCTTCCCTCTAGCTGTGTCCTTCAGGGAGCACGCTCCCCTTCCCTCTAGCTGTGTCCTTCAGGGAGCACGCTCCCCTTCCCTCTAGCTGTGTCCTTCAGGGAGCACGCTCCCCTTCCCTCTAGCTGTGTCCTTCAGGGAGCACGCTCCCCTTCCCTCTAGCTGTGTCCTTCAGGGAGCACGCTCCCCTTCCCTCTAGCTGTGTCCTTCAGGGAGCACGCTCCCCTTCCCTCTAGCTGTGTCCTTCAGGGAGCACGCTCCCCTTCCCTCTAGCTGTGTCCTTCAGGGAGCACGCTCCCCTTCCCTCTAGCTGTGTCCTTCAGGGAGCACGCTCCCCTTCCCTCTAGCTGTGTCCTTCAGGGAGCACGCTCCCCTTCCCTCTAGCTGTGTCCTTCAGGGAGCACGCTCCCCTTCCCTCTAGCTGTGTCCTTCAGGGAGCACGCTCCCCTTCCCTCTAGCTGTGTCCTTCAGGGAGCACGCTCCCCTTCCCTCTAGCTGTGTCCTTCAGGGAGCACGCTCCCCTTCCCTCTAGCTGTGTCCTTCAGGGAGCACGCTCCCCTTCCCTCTAGCTGTGTCCTTCAGGGAGCACGCTCCCCTTCCCTCTAGCTGTGTCCTTCAGGGAGCACGCTCCCCTTCCCTCTAGCTGTGTCCTTCAGGGAGCACGCTCCCCTTCCCTCTAGCTGTGTCCTTCAGGGAGCACGCTCCCCTTCCCTCTAGCTGTGTCCTTCAGGGAGCACGCTCCCCTTCCCTCTAGCTGTGTCCTTCAGGGAGCACGCTCCCCTTCCCTCTAGCTGTGTCCTTCAGGGAGCACGCTCCCCTTCCCTCTAGCTGTGTCCTTCAGGGAGCACGCTCCCCTTCCCTCTAGCTGTGTCCTTCAGGGAGCACGCTCCCCTTCCCTCTAGCTGTGTCCTTCAGGGAGCACGCTCCCCTTCCCTCTAGCTGTGTCCTTCAGGGAGCACGCTCCCCTTCCCTCTAGCTGTGTCCTTCAGGGAGCACGCTCCCCTTCCCTCTAGCTGTGTCCTTCAGGGAGCACGCTCCCCTTCCCTCTAGCTGTGTCCTTCAGGGAGCACGCTCCCCTTCCCTCTAGCTGTGTCCTTCAGGGAGCACGCTCCCCTTCCCTCTAGCTGTGTCCTTCAGGGAGCACGCTCCCCTTCCCTCTAGCTGTGTCCTTCAGGGAGCACGCTCCCCTTCCCTCTAGCTGTGTCCTTCAGGGAGCACGCTCCCCTTCCCTCTAGCTGTGTCCTTCAGGGAGCACGCTCCCCTTCCCTCTAGCTGTGTCCTTCAGGGAGCACGCTCCCCTTCCCTCTAGCTGTGTCCTTCAGGGAGCACGCTCCCCTTCCCTCTAGCTGTGTCCTTCAGGGAGCACGCTCCCCTTCCCTCTAGCTGTGTCCTTCAGGGAGCACGCTCCCCTTCCCTCTAGCTGTGTCCTTCAGGGAGCACGCTCCCCTTCCCTCTAGCTGTGTCCTTCAGGGAGCACGCTCCCCTTCCCTCTAGCTGTGTCCTTCAGGGAGCACGCTCCCCTTCCCTCTAGCTGTGTCCTTCAGGGAGCACGCTCCCCTTCCCTCTAGCTGTGTCCTTCAGGGAGCACGCTCCCCTTCCCTCTAGCTGTGTCCTTCAGGGAGCACGCTCCCCTTCCCTCTAGCTGTGTCCTTCAGGGAGCACGCTCCCCTTCCCTCTAGCTGTGTCCTTCAGGGAGCACGCTCCCCTTCCCTCTAGCTGTGTCCTTCAGGGAGCACGCTCCCCTTCCCTCTAGCTGTGTCCTTCAGGGAGCACGCTCCCCTTCCCTCTAGCTGTGTCCTTCAGGGAGCACGCTCCCCTTCCCTCTAGCTGTGTCCTTCAGGGAGCACGCTCCCCTTCCCTCTAGCTGTGTCCTTCAGGGAGCACGCTCCCCTTCCCTCTAGCTGTGTCCTTCAGGGAGCACGCTCCCCTTCCCTCTAGCTGTGTCCTTCAGGGAGCACGCTCCCCTTCCCTCTAGCTGTGTCCTTCAGGGAGCACGCTCCCCTTCCCTCTAGCTGTGTCCTTCAGGGAGCACGCTCCCCTACCCTCTAGCTGTGTCCTCCAGGGAGCACGCTCCCCTACCCTCTAGCGGTGTCCTCCAGGGAGCACGCTCCCCTACCCTCTCGCGGTGTCCTCCGTGAGCACGCTCCCCTACCCTCTCGCGGTGTCCTCCGTGAGCACGCTCCCCTACCCTCTCGCGGTGTCCTCCGTGAGCACGCTCCCCTACCCTCTCGCGGTGTCCTCCGTGAGCACGCTCCCCTACCCTCTCGCGGTGTCCTCCGTGAGCACGCTCCCCTACCCTCTCGCGGTGTCCTCCGTGAGCACGCTCCCCTACCCTCTCGCGGTGTCCTCCGTGAGCACGCTCCCCTACCCTCTCGCGGTGTCCTCCGTGAGCACGCTCCCCTACCCTCTCGCGGTGTCCTCCGTGAGCACGCTCCCCTACCCTCTCGCGGTGTCCTCCGTGAGCACGCTCCCCTACCCTCTCGCGGTGTCCTCCGTGAGCACGCTCCCCTACCCTCTCGCGGTGTCCTCCGTGAGCACGCTCCCCTACCCTCTCGCGGTGTCCTCCGTGAGCACGCTCCCCTACCCTCTCGCGGTGTCCTCCGTGAGCACGCTCCCCTACCCTCTCGCGGTGTCCTCCGTGAGCACGCTCCCCTACCCTCTCGCGGTGTCCTCCGTGAGCACGCTCCCCTACCCTCTCGCGGTGTCCTCCGTGAGCACGCTCCCCTACCCTCTCGCGGTGTCCTCCGTGAGCACGCTCCCCTACCCTCTCGCGGTGTCCTCCGTGAGCACGCTCCCCTACCCTCTCGCGGTGTCCTCCGTGAGCACGCTCCCCTACCCTCTCGCGGTGTCCTCCGTGAGCACGCTCCCCTACCCTCTCGCGGTGTCCCTTCGTGAGCACGCTCCCCTACCCTCTCGCGGTGTCCTCCGTGAGCACGCTCCCCTACCCTCTCGCGGTGTCCCTTCGTGAGCACGCTCCCCTAACCTCTCGCGGTGTCCTCCGTGCGCACGCTCCCCTACCCTCTCGCGGTGTCCCTTCGTGAGCACGCTCCCCTAACCTCTCGCGGTGTCCTCCGTGCGCACGCTCCCCTACCCTCTCGCGGTGTCCTCCGTGCGCACCCTCCCCTACCCTCCCCTCTCGCTGTATCCTCCGTGCACACGCTCCGCCACCCTCGCTGTGTCCTCCGTGCGCACACTCCCCTACCTTTGAGCAAGCGACAGAGCTATATCCATCCATAGGCAATTTAACCGTTGTAAAAAAACGGTCGGCCGGGAGCTCTCTAGATCTGAGCGGGCGTCTTTAGACATCCGCTCAGCCACGCCCCCTCACGTGCGGGAAAGTCCTAATATATAAAAACAGCCAGCGATGCCTGTTAACATACAAGCGATCCGGCGGCGGATTGTGCGCCCCCTCCGCAGCTCCCCCGCCCCCTCTGTCACGCTGGTTCCCGGGCTCTGCTGTGCCTGGTGCGAGCCCGGGATCAGCATGGTGGCTCTGTGAAAGGTGATCAGAGGGAGATTGGTACACGATCTCCCTCCGGTCCCCTCTCCGCTGTCAGAATGCAGAAGTCTTGTATATTACATCACTTCTGCATTCTTGTGTCACTCTCCAGCTTCAGATGCTGGAGAGAAGCTGATGGAGCAGATCTCTGCTTCATCAGCTTCTTCAGGGGGGTCCTAGGTGACGTTAGGGGTCTTGGAGACCCCTGATCTCTCCATAAAGAGGACCTGTCACGTATTTTGCTATCACATAGAGGGGTTTCTTAGCCCCCTATGTGATAGCAATAAAGTTACGTGGAAAAAAAAATAGGAAAAAAAAAATTAAAGTTTACCCCCCAAAAATTTTTTAAGTTACACATAAAAAAAAAAAAACACACTTCTTTTTCAAGTGCCCCCCATGGTAATAGGTAATAGGTAATAATCATTATCTCCTAGCATAATGGAAAACAAACTTTTTTTTCCCCAAAATCTTCAATCATTTTCCCTTAATACAGCAAAAAATAAAACTCCCGGTGGTGATTAAATACCCCCAAAAGAAAGCTCTACCTGTCCCTAAACATTTTTATAAAATTCATTTCAGTACAGTGTTGCATGACGGAATAAATGTCAGTCTAAGTACCGCAGCGCTGAATACTGAAAAATGGCCTAGCCAGGAAGAGGGTGTAAACACCTGGTCAGCAAGTGGTTAAAAAAGTAAATTTCCCCTTGATAGATATGCATGAAGTAGAGGAAAAATAGCTGGAGGGTTTATTACTACTTTCATGCACATCAGTGCGTGTTTACATGTTATTACACCCACTGCTTACAATTGCATTATTGTGTGGAAGAATACATGAACTTTTCTTTGTTTGGAACACTCTACAACACATTCCAGGCAACCAAATAGATACAATTAAACACAGTGTTTTATTTTTCCTGCAGGGATGATATATACATGGTCTGTACATATAGTAATTGGATGCTATGGTCAGAAAGGCAACCCCCCTTGTCACACCTGCAATGTACAGCAGCAGCACCTTCACCCCAGCTCATCCTCCAGTCACTCTCATAGGTCCCTGCACAGAAACAGGCTCACCTTCCCCCCACCAGCCGCAGCACCGCCTCGCACAGCTCCCCTTCCGCCTCATCACGACTCAGCCTCCGGTTCTGTGGCCTCGGGTGACCCTCCGGAGCAGCCAGGTCCCGCAGCACCGCGGCCAGCAGCTCCCTTCCCACTGCCTCCTCTGCCATACCTAAAGCTGACTGTGCGCGAACCCGGAAGCAGCGCGGAGCTGCACGTGTACTAGGACGGGGCGCTGGAAGAGAAGGGGTGACAGGGAGGGGCCGGACACCTCATACGGAGCAGACTGGACTCTGTGTGCTGGGACACAACACCGGATAACAGCCGGAAACCCGCACATTATATCACATCAAGAACAGTGTGCTTTAATCCTACCTGGCCCTGTGAGGCACCGGTGTAATCTGCTGATCACCCCCTTCTGAGTGGTACAGTCCACATAAAACAAAGCCAGCATGGGAGGCGCAGAGTGACAGCTGTGACCATATTTGTCCTCACCTTCCCAGGACTGCTGCTTGTCAACTTTATGCTGAAATGAGGACTTGATAAACAAATAGGCATGTGTATCTCTTCTTCCATCCAAATCTGTACAGTAATCCAGTATGAAACTTTGCTTCTGTGCAGCAGCTCCCTGTAATAAAGACCAGTCACTGCTGCTCTCTCTCCTTGTGCAGGGTGACTGGTCTTGTATCCGCCCCCTCCTGTCATTTTTCTGTAGACACCTTGTAGTGGGTGTGTCCTGCTGAGTCCCTCCCATAGCTCTGCTCTATGCTTAGGATGTGTGCAACACCGAGAATATGTCACTGCTACCTTTCGAAGGTAATATCTGGATTTGTAGTGCACATAAAGTAGATTTATTTCCTATGTGGCAATGAAGGAAACTATTTAAGGGGAAGTCTCTGGGAGCACTGCTGTCTGAAGCTAGGCCATACACCTATAGAATATCTGCAGATTTTCTATGGTCAGATGGAAAAAGTGCAACAGATTCCTCCATCTACGCTAAACTGGGTGGATGGAGGAATCTCCCGATGGGCCAAGTTTCACTATATTGCTAGTCGGCCCCGCTGGCTGTCAAAGTACCTGAACAATCTGATTGGATGCAGGCATTGATCAGGTATTTTGAGAGCCAGTGTGGCCGACTAGCAAGATACTGAAGCTTGGCCCAGTGGGGCCGTACCTGACTTGCGGGAGCAGCTACACGGTCTGCATCTCTGTCGGATGCAGACTGCAGAGCTGCTCCTGCCAGCTCCATCACTGAGAGCTTTTCTGCTGGAGCTCAGTTCTGCGCTTTGGTCGAAAGGATGTATTAGTGAGGTCTGCAGCAGACCTCACTTATCACCCCTGGATCACCAGGGATCGATCTGCCTCCTCCCTGCAAAAAGGTAAGCAGGAGAGAGGGCTCTGTATTTTATTGCATTTTATATGTGGTGTGCAGGCGTTTACATGCAGCTGCTGTCACCTGATCATTAACTTCAATGAGTGACAGCGGCCACTTGTAAACACCAGATAAGGGATTCCTGCTGCAGGAAAACGCAAGTTCCTGATGCAGGAATCCCTAATTGCACCTAAACTTACATGTGAATAGGGCCTTATTGTGTGTGATTTGCGGTCCGTAGTACCATACCGGATATAGTTACATTTTATTTTGAAGTATGACATTTGGCAAGGGGCCCCCATGGGAGAAAAAAAATTGTCGAGTGGCCCCCGAGTGAAAGGAGTTTGATGGTTTGTCTTTAAAAGCTAAATTTGGAATGTGTTTCATGTTACACCAATATTCAGGGTGTAACATGAAACATGGTCACATTGCCAGGCTGCTGCTGGGAAATGCCTTGCAACGCACGTTTCAAGTGTTTTTGCATGTTTTGTTGCTCATTTTGTCGCACAATTGGAAGTCCAATACACTGTCATTGAAGTCTATGGGACCAAAAGAGCAGTAATCTGCTAAAAAGTAGCTCATGTACTTTTTCCAGCAACAGGCAATTTTCTGCTTGTAACAAAACGCTCAGGGGCCATAGAAATGAATGGGATTCTTTGTCTTGAGCATTTTCTCATGCTTAGCTTTAAGCGGCAATACGCATAGGTGTGAACGTGAACTAACAGTGTATGCCAGGGGCATAACAATATCATGATAGGGTCCCTTTGTTTTCCAAGTAAAAAGACAGTCATGCCCTGACACCTACCATCCTGTAGGGGGAGCTCAAGGCTAGAATTTCACCTCTTCAATCTATTGATAAAAAATAATTATATACAATAAGCATCCATCTAGTAAGCCTCCTCCAGCTTTCAGAAAGCAGCCTGATTCACATGGTTAGACTGCCATCAGGGCCGCCGTCAGGGGGGTTACGACCAATACTCATGTAAGGGGCCCGGGCAGCTTCCGTTTACCACACAGGAGACAAGGGGGGCGCTGGTGGGGGAGGCCAGAAAAAACCTCCTCACCCAGCTCTCCCTACTCTGTGCGCTTTCCGGAGCTTGCTGGTGCTGTTCCTGACCCGGCTGAGATATTAGCATATGAATGGGCCACGGTAATTTGCATATCAATAAGTTGTATCCCACCGCTGCGACCCGTCCTGTAGGTAACCGCTCCTCCCGGCCTCTGCAGCTACCGAACGGAGGAGAGAGAGAGCTGTCAGGAGGCATCGCAGTTGCGGACACTACGCATCGATTGTGCATCCAGGGAGAGTGTTTTCTAACCGCATTTGATCATATCACATTCCATTACATGCGGTGTGCAGGCGTTTACATGGAGCTGCTGTCACCTGATCTTTAACTTGATTAGCTGGCAGCTGTCACTTGTAAACGCCAGATTAGGGATTTCTGCTGCAGTAAAACGCAAGTTTCTGATGCAGGAATCCCTAATCGCACCTAAACCTACAGATATGAATAGGGCCTTATTGTGTGTATATTGATGTCTGTAGTACTTAAACTGGATATAGTTACATTTTATTTTAAAGTATGAAATGTGGCAAGCGGCCCCCATGAAAGAAATAAATTTGTCGAGTGGCCCCCGAGACCGAAAAAGCACGCGGGGGAGGGCAGAGACATTGACGGAGTAGGCGTCGCCGAAACTCCAGTCGGTGGCGAAGGTGACAAGGAGGTCGTGTTGGGCGCAGAGGATGAGGAGGCCGTGTTCCAAAGAGGTAAGGCCGTGCAAGGTAAGAGGACTGTGTTGGCAGAGCCCAGCATAGATTCTGCACAGCCCACCAAAGAGTCTCAGGTGTGCTGTGCAATACCCTTTGGTGGGCTCTGCAGGATCCGAGTCTGCAAAGCCCACCACAGATCCTGCAGAGCCCCCCTGAGATCCTGCTGGGTCTCAGGGGGGCACTGCAGGATCTGTGTGGGCTTTGCTGGGTCTCAAGGGGGCTTTGCAGGATCTGTGGTGAGCTCTGCGAGGTCTATATTGGGCGGAGCCGACCACAGATCCTGCACAGCCCACTGAGACTGCAGGGTCTCAGAGGGTCTCTGCAGGATCTGTGGGGGGCTTTGCTGGGTCTCAAGGGGGCTTTGCAGGATCTGTGGTGAGCTCTGCGAGGTCTATGGTGACTGCAGGGTCTCAGGGGGGCTGTGCAGGATCAGTAAAAATCATCAACCGAGTCTCAGGGGGGATTTACAGGATCTGTGTCGCGGTCTATGGTGGGTTCTGCAGGGTCTCAGGTGGGCTTAGCAGCTGCAGGGTCTCAGGTGGGCTTAGCAGCCTGAGACCCTGCAGAGCCCACCAGAGATCCTTCACAGCCCACCTGAGACCCAGCAGAGCCCACCACAGACCCTGCAGAGCCCACCTGAGACCACAGCCGGCTGGGGTAAATTTAGTGTGTGGGGGGGCGCCCGAGCTTTGTCTTGCCTAGGGCAGCCCCAAACCAGAATACACCAATGGCGGGGACATCAGCACAGACACTGCACTGCCACAATCCTCTCTGCAGCTCACCAGGAGTAAGGATGGGCTCGGGCGTGTTCACAGCTCCAGGTGCCAAGCCCGCCACGAAGCTGACAGCGTGCAGCTGAGACATTTCCCGATCTCTGCAGCTGCGAACCGGGAAAATGCCTCAGTACCTGTGATTGGCGCTGCGCGCTGTCAGCTTCCTGGCGGACTCGGCGCGTAGAGCTGCGAACACGCCCGAGCCCATCCTTAATCAGGAGGAGAAAAGCTCTATCGAAGTTCTATCGAAAGTTCCAACTTCTGAGATCTGCAACGACCTGGCTTACTTAGAAGAGGATTGGCAGAGAAGGCTGTACTGCACGTGGGCCACCCGCGGCATTTCAAAAATACACATACAATAGATTTTAATAAATATTACAATGAACTAGGGTCAGACTAATCCAGGACATTATTAATCTAAATTGCCCCACTCAATACGGCCGTCGCTTGCGCCCATATTGAGTGGGGCACTCAGATTAATAACGTGCTGGATTAGTCTGACCCTGGTTTATTTTAATACTTTATTGCTCTGTAGTATGTGTGTAGGGAAATGCCGCGGGTGGCCCACGTGCAGTACAGCCTTCTCAGCCGAACCTCTTACTTCTAAGTAAGTCAGGTCGTTGCAGATCTTGAGGAGTTGGAGTTTTCTGTAGATCACTGCTGCTGATCTCTGCATTGTATATCACACCACTGACTTCTGCACTGTAGATCACACTGCTGACCTCTGTGTCACACCACTGACCTCTGCACTCTGCAGCACACCGCTGACCCCCTGCATCACACCGCTGACCACTGCACTAGAAGTCACACCGCTGCCCTCTGCGTCACACTGCTGCACTCTGCATCACATCACTGATCTCTGCGCTCTGCGTTGCACCTCTGACTTCTGTACTCTGCATTACACCACTGACTTCTGTGTTGATTCGTCTGTGGTAGGTCCCGCGCAGCAGGCTTCTGGGGAACCCCGCGGTGCCTTCTTACAGGGCTTCCACCGGCTGCCTATCTTTCCCTCCTGAGACCCTTTGCCCGAGACTTCAGGCTGGCACACGGGAGCAGAGCGGCAGCACAGAGTATGTACCAAATTCATATACTATTATTCTGCATTGCTGTATAATGTTTTGCAGGGCTTTTTAGTCATCTATAACTGATGGTATTATTCTGCATTAGAGTGTAAGCTCCTCTGTACAGAGATTGATGTGACTTCTCTGTACAGCACTGCGGTATATGTCAGAGCTTTATAAATGTGTAATAATAGTGTGTGACTGTGCCGGGGACATTAGAGTGTTAGCTACTTTAGTGCAAAGAATGCCAGGGGGGTTGGGGGCCAGTGAGATCCGATTCTCTATAGCAATATGTCTGTGAAGGTTTTCATTCATCCAGGTCATGGAATATCTGTAAAAGATAAGTCAAGGCAACTGGACTTTCTGTATTTTTCTTGAAGACGTTTCACTGGCCATCCAACCAGCTTTCTCAATTCAGAAATTTCTGAATAGAGAAAGCTGGTTGGATGACCAGTGAAACGTCTTAAAGTAAAATACAGCCAGTCCAGTTGCCTCGACTTATTTTTTACAGATATTCTCTATAGCAAGCTTCCTACATTGTTGCAAGGTTTGTGTATTGGTTGTAGCAAGGCTTGTGTGTCAGCTGTAGCCCTCCGGTACTTACTAGTGGCCGGCCCTGCCCCTCGATTGCGCTTCTGTGTTTGGCTCCGCCACCTGTTGTGAGGGGTGGGGCCTGTCAGTGGTCACATGATTGGGCTGCTCAGTCTAATATGCCCGGGCCTATTTTTAGTCCCAGTCCGGCCCTGGCGGGCAGCCTTTGGCTGTAGGATTCTGCACTTAACTTTTTGCTGCTGCCTGCCCTTTCCCCTGGTTGTAGAATGTCCCCTTCCCCCTCCATTTGCTACTCTCTGCCCCTCCCCATGCATTGTGGAAGGGCAGGCAGCCTATAGCCATAGGTTTTCACCCTGCAGCTGTACCTCTATCACACTTACTATAAATAAATAAATTATATTATGAAGGCAGACCTGTTTGCTTCTCCTCACCACCAGCACACCAACCCTCCTCCTTGTATTCCGATGTAGTCAGCAGTCATGTGGTTTAAGAGCTGCCCGTGAGTGCAGTGCCTGCAGCTGGTGCTGGCCCATGTGGTTTAAAAGAGATGCAGGGATCATAGAATTGGAGACCTGCTGCTCATCAAAGGGAAGTCTGCTGGCATCAGGAAATGCGGCAAAGATGTTCTTACGTGGCAACTACTCAAAATGCCGCATTTTCTGCTCTTTCTGGGATGACGACAGTAGATCCCAACTCTACGTTGAAGCCTTCCTCATTTCCCCATCCTTGTCACCATCAGCAGCCCAATCTATCTCCTCCTCATATATTCGTCCTCTGCCTCCTGCTGCTTCATTGCATTTCACATGCTGGTGGATGGCAAAATAATTACAGCTGGGTACCTTTCACTGTGGTGTGGCACAAACCATGAACTTACATAAAGCTGGAATGCGAGCAGCTGCAAAACCAGTAGATTTCTAAACAAGCATTAATATTATGAGGTTGGGGTTGTTTTGGGCATGTATTTTTCTTTTGATCCAGCAGTTCCAAACAGGCCCACACTGCAGAGCTCTGTGGACAGGCCATGGGGATAGCAGTGGCCTCTAATTCCACTCCTCATAGCCAGTTTGCAGGGCTATGGTGGGATTAGGAGAAATAGAGGAGGAAGAAGAGGGCTCATTAGCAGCACTTGTAGGCAAGTGGCTGTTCTGCGCTTGGGAGGAATGGAGGAGGCGAAGGAGGAAAATGGTGAATTAGCAGAACTTGCAGGCTGCCTAAGTCTGGGAGGTGTAAGAAGAGAAAAGGTTTTGTCAGCCACTTCACTATCTCCTCCACATGCTGTGGTTACATAGCACAGCCACTGTAAGACAGAAAAAGCAGACATGCTATGACTCTAGATGGTGCGGCCCGAGCATGCAGTACCAGTTTGCCCCTTACTACCTCTGCATGCAGAACCTGTTTGCCTCCTACTACCTCTGCATGCAGAACCTGTTTTCCCCGTACTACCTCTGCATGCAGAACCTGTGCCTCTCATTTTAGGCCTGACATTTCAAAATATGTGATGCCACAATACGGTATCACTGTCTGTGATTATCGTTCTGTAACACTACATACACTGAGTGGCCAGATTATTATGACCACTCCATCAGTACTTCGTTGGGCCACGAGATGACTTTGTTGGGCCGCCTCGTGACTCCACGAGATGTTGAAAGGTGATGCGAGGAATCTGACGCTGCACTGTTGCCCTTCTGTTGTCTTGCCACTCTCCGTTCTGCCCTTACATTGACTAGTCGCTGACGGCCACAATTCGCACATTCAGACCCAGATTTGCGGCTGACAGTCCAGTCTTTAAACACTTTAACAACAGTTGCTCTTGAACATTTAACGAATTCTGCTGTTTTGCTGATACTCGCTCCATGGCTCCGCGCGCCAACAATCATCCCACGTTCAAAGGCTGTTAAATCGCGTTCTTTACCCATATCTTCAGAAAAAAATCACTACTACTGTCATGGTAAACAACCTGCTTCCCTATTTATAATGCGCTGGCCCTCTAGCAACTTCAGCGCCAAATTATAGCTAATTTGCCTACAAACGTCAGGTGGTCATAATAATCTGGCCACTCAGTGTATAACTTAAAGGCATCTTCCAAGCATGTAATTTAATTCATTGGTGTTTTTCTATGTCACCCTCAAAGTCACAGCTTTCTTTAGACAAGTGCTAGCAGGCAAGTGAGGCACCCTTATTAAAAAAAAGACATACAGGGTTCCTTCTGGAATGAAAATGATCCTGCTACCGTAGCAACTTTTTGGGAAAGCTTTAAAATCTTTTAAAGGTTTCACTTTAACACTTTCTGAGTCACTGAGCAAGGACAAGTATATGTGCAAAATAAATAAATAAGGTTTCAAATCATTTTTACTCTTTTACCACCCCCACCCCCCCTCTTCTCTTGCTTATGTTAGATCCATTCTATCTATGTTCTGACCAATATAATAACCCTTTCACCTCCCTGATCAATTTATATATTAACCCCTTCATCTCCGTCTGCCCACTGTATGTGACCTGTACATTAACCCCTTCACCTCCCTCTGTTTATGACCTGTACATTTATTGTATCCGGTGCACTATCACCACGTTCCATGTTTTCACCCCCTCAATACCAGCATGTTTCTTCATTTCCATAAAATTGCAGCAAAAAATCATATCACCTTGGGGTGTCTATTTTACAAAAAGGGGTCATTTTGGGGAGTTTCATACTGACCTGACATTTTTATTTGCGGTGATTTATAAACAACAGTAAGAGAGACAGGCTTTTCTAAAAAAATAATTTTGGTCTTTTTGTACTTTATATAATAATACAAAAAAATTGTGGTAATTAAATACCACTAAAAGAAAGCTCTATTTGTCCCCTAAAAATGGTATAAAACGAATTTCGTTACAATGTTATGTGATGGAGGAATTCTCAGCCAAACTAGTACAGTGCTGAAAACGAAAAAAAAAAATGGCCTGGTAATGAAGGTGGTGTAACATGCTGGTACTGAAGTGGTTAATAACATAACCATTAATCCATATAATCACATGAATCTGAAGAATCTGCCGGCTGTCCTTTATTTTCTCTTTTCATACCATAATACACTGGTTATAAATCAGTGCACATGGCGTGAAGCGATCAACCATCAGTGGGCTGCAGTGAGAAGAACAATGCCTCCCATCTGCTGATTCCAGTATTGTGGCTTGTATATGTGTACATCTATCATCGCAGGTGTCCGGTCCATGTCCCCTCTTCCTATCCTCCAGCCATGGTCACCTCCCTCCCTGCACAGCAGCCTGCACCCACGCCGCTCTTAAGTCACACCCCCCTTCAGCACCGACAGGGTTAACACTAGCGTGTCTGCCACAGACAAGTGACAGGTCGGCTGTGACTTTTTCAGCGCTCATTGGTTGGCTTGGGCTGAATGAATTATACCGTGGACCAATCACCGAGTCCCTCGTGTCTGCAAGCCGAAGACATAAACTTTAGTAAGAGGAAGAGCACATCAACCAATCCCCGCATGCCTCCTTCTCCTGTCCTTCGATTTAGCACCGCCCCCTACTAGGGCGGAGCGAGGCCGACCATTGGTTTAACATTAGATAATCCCGTCCTCCTCCCGCTGGCGGCTGACGATTGGCTGTCTGGAAGTGTTGAGGGAAGTTACTGGTAAGACAGACTGACGTGCCGGGGAAGCGATGCCACCAGCGGGGTTCGGGCTGCTGTTGCTCGGTGTGTTCTGCCTCTGGTGCCCGGGGCTGGGGAGCGAAGAGGCGGAGTACGTAACGTGCGGATCCGTGGTGAAGCTGCTCAATACTCGGCACAATGTGCGGCTCCACTCCCACGATGTCAAGTACGGCTCAGGTGAGGTGATCGGCAGCTGCCTTCCTCTTCAAATTATCTGAGGACGAATATGACCCTGCAGGACTGCAGCTGTCCTGTGACTTCTACTGTCAGCGATATGTTACACCCGCGTTCTAGTTCGGGAGATGCACACTTAGGCAGGACACACACAGCCCGATCTAGTTGGCGATCCGACTGCCTCGCAGTATTCCCAAGTACAAAAGGGCGATATAATCAGAGTGGAGGACTGACAACACACTATTTCAGAAATCTTCCAGCATGCTGGAAAACCTCTGACACGTGATCAATAAACAAAAGTCTCATGGGGAATTTACTAAGACTGGAGCAGACCGAATCTGGAGCTGCTGTGCGTGGCAACCAATCCGCTTCTCTCTTTTATTTTCAAAGCTTAACTCATCAAACTAGATAGAAGCTGATTGGTTGCCACACACAACTATTCCAGATATTGTCTGCTCCAGTTTTAGTAAATCCCCCATCAGTATGCATAATTGTAGAAGGATTTGCTGTGCCTGACCTTTGGGTGTCTATAGATCTGCCTTTCTCATCCTTTTGACCCGGCGAGGAACCCTTGAAAAAATTATAAAATCTTGGGGAACCAACAGAGCCAAAGGAAGCAAATGTCATGGTATTGGTGTGAGGAAACAAATGCCCCTGTGTCGGAGGTGTCACTGGGAGGTAAAATGCCCCCCGTGTCGGTGGTGTCACTGGGAGGTAAGATGATGCCTTCCGTGTCAGTGGTGTCACTGGGAGGTAAAATGATGCCCCCGTGTCGATGGTGTCACTGGGAGGTAAAATGCCCCCTGTGTTGGTGGTGTCACTGGGAGGTAAAATGCCCCATGTGTCGGTGGTGTCACTGGGAGGTAAGATGATGCCTTCCGTGTCAGTGGTGTCACTGGGAGGTAAAATGATGCCCCCCGTGTCGATGGTGTCACTGGGAGGTAAAATGCCCCCTGTGTTGGTGGTGTCACTGGGAGGTAAGATGATGCCTTCCGTGTTGGTGGTGTCACTGGGAGGTAAGATGATGCCCCCTTTGTCTGTGGTGTCACTGGGAGGTAAGATGATGCCCCCTTTGTCTGTGGTGTCACTGGGAGGTAAAATGATGCCCCCCGTGTCGATGGTGTCACTGGGAGGTAAAATGCCCCCTGTGTTGGTGGTGTCACTGGGAGGTAAGATGATGCCTTCCGTGTTGGTGGTGTCACTGGGAGGTAAGATGATGCCCCCTTTGTCTGTGGTGTCACTGGGAGGTAAGATGATGCCTCCCGTGTCGGTGGTGTCACTGGGAGGTAAGATGATGCCCCCCGTGTCGGTGGTGTCACTGGGAGGTAAGATGATGCCTCCCGTGTCGGTGGTGTCACTGGGAGGTAAGATGATGCCCCCCGTGTCGGTGGTGGTGTCACTGGGAGGTAAGATGATGCCCCCCGTGTCGGTGGTGGTGTCACTGGGAAGTAAGATGATGCCCCCCGTGTCGGTGGTGGTGTCACTGGGAGGTAAGATGATGCCCCTCGTGTCGGTAGTGGTGTCACTGGGAGGTAAGATGATGCCCCCCGTGTCGGTGGTGGTGTCACTGGGAGGTAAGATGATGCCCCCCGTGTCCCGTGACCACCGGTAGGTGCAGGGGGGATCAGTGAAGCCTCCATATGGAAGTAGTGAATACACACACCTCAATGGTGGTGGAACCCCGTAGAGAAGCCATGCTATAGATGGCAGAATCTAGTAATGGTGTATGAGTATTCATTGCTACAGCCCACTAGCTCTGCCAGGAACATTTATGGGATAGGCAGCAATACATCATGGCCAATCCCGCCTTTAATTATGGGAGAATTATGAATTGCAAGGCAATCAAAGATCACCGGTGTGGCCCCATTCAAATGTCTGCATTGCCTAATCATCAGTGTACTTCTACTTCTTGTCTACACCCATCCAAAGAATTGTATCACAGGGAGCCACATATCATGCACATAGAGACATTGATGAGCACATTTACAAATGGATTATCTCACTGAAAAAAAAAAAGACTTTGAATATGATTTTGCCTAATGCACAGGGTCTTGGTGCATGTCACATGTACATGGTAGAACTTTCCTCACGTAACAAGCAACGCCCTAGGGGCCCTAGTATTGTTGGGGGGCCTACTCATACAAGATCCTGCCACATGCTGAGAGAGCAATGAAAGCTACTTTCAGAATGTCATGGGGGTCTCCATACTTGTAAACCTGCCTGTTTAATGGTGCCGTCTCTTATTCATGTACCAAATTAATAATTTTAGAGCTGCAATCCCATTGTTATATTAAACAACATAGAACATGAAATTGTATGAACTGTTTACTCATCTCAACGTGTTACTGAAGAAAACAAAAGCAAGTTCCAACCATGCTAATTGTCACCTGCCACTTGCTTGTCTTTGATGCATTCTCATTTCCTGTTTCTCACTTCCTGTTTTGTGTAATGTCATTGTATTGTTTCCATTATAGTATACTGAACAAGATGAAGGGGAAAAAAGAAAGAAATACAAATATAATTTGTGTGTGTCTGTCTGTCTAACAGATCCTACCCTCTCCCTCCACAAATGCGTGCTTACCAAGATCCTGCACCCAGGGCTTGCTACATTTGTTTACTTCCTGCGCCAAAGTCCTCTCTCCTGGCCACACCTGCACAGTGTAGCTCCATAGACTTCTATATGGTTCATCTACCTCTGTCACCCAGTAGGAAGGTGCAGGGAGAGAAGTTCCCCAGACTTTTAGGCCTGGTTCACACCTAAACATTTATACCCACAGAAAAAACATGCAAAATACACATTTCCATGCAAGTCAATGGTAAGTGTTCATACCTTAGTGTTGTTGTGTGACGTGAAAAGATGCAGGAGTTATTTTAGGCGGATCCCGCGTGGTTTTGCATCTCTATGCAGGGGAAAATGCAAAAACGCGCACAAAAAAATACACTGCAAACGCCTACGTGTGAACTTAGCCTTATGGACTTTACTGCACAGCCGGCAGAGAGGATTGGGGCTTCATGCACTATTTTTTCGCTGACAAGATTTCTGGCAGAATCAACACTTTTCGTACTCAAAAAAAATGTGCTTAACCAGAGGTTAAAACAAAGTGCGGTTGATAAAGAGGGTCGGAGAGTCAATATGAAGTACAACAAAATATTCATTTATTAATTAAACAAGATTTTTCTTCGAATGAACCAGATGCACCATATAAACCAACCGACATGATTAAAAACTGGTTATTGCATTTAATTAATAAATTAATATTTTTTTGTACTTCATATTGACCCCCCGACCCTCTTTATCAGCCGCACTTTGTTATAACCTCTCTTGGTTAAGCACATTTTTTTTGAGTACGTTCGGTGTAAGCAGCTGGGGGGTTGTTCGTATTGAGAGTCATAGAAGAGTTAATACACTTCGATTGTCATTGGGTGTGGTACTCTGGGTATAACATTCTCTTTAGAATCAACACTTTTTTGTGTTTTTTTTTTTTTGTGTGCACTTATGGAACAAATATACTATTGAAAGTATTTTATTATTTTTCACAAGCCGAATGAGGACAAATATGTGAAGTTCAGTGTCAGGTTTCCATGCATTTTAATGGGATACAAATGTAAATGTTTAAATGTATCCGAATGATACAACTGACACTGTTTCTCTATGTTAGGAAGCGGGCAGCAGTCCGTCACTGGAGTGGAGTCCTCAGATGATGCAAACAGCTACTGGAGGATAAGGGCAAAGGTCGGTGAAGTGTGTCCCCGCGGAGAGCCAATAAAGTGTGGGCAAACCATTCGCCTTACCCATGTGAATACTGGGAAGAACCTGCACTCGCACCATTTCTCATCCCCCCTCTCAAACAATCAGGTATGTTTCAATCTGGAGGAACGTGAGGAATGGTACAACTAGAGACTGATACATATTAAAGAAGTCCTACTACTTAAAAACGAGACACATTCTACTGCTTTTTTTTTAACACTGGATTGTTCTGGCATTAAAATGAACACATCTATTCACTTTATATTAATATATGTTTTTAAATATGAATTTCACTCCTGTGGGTTGGAGGGTTTCTGTAGTAGCATTGTCACACGCTTAAAGCTGAACTCTGGGGAATAAAAAAAAACTTTACCCTTGTAATGGGTTCCTATCCACATTGTAAGGGTTAAATGCTCATTTTGCCTAGGGCAGGGGTGGGCAATTCCTGCCCTCCAACTGATGTGGAACTACAAATCCCAAGAAGCATTGTAAGACTGACAGTTACAGGCATGATTTGCAGAGGCATGTTGAGATTTGTAGTTAAAGCACAGGTGGGGGTCAGGTGGGGGTCGCAGTTGCCCACCCCTGCCCTAGGGGATGATAAATAAGGTGATATACGTACCTTATTCCTAGCTCCCTCCATGCTGTAAGACATCCCCTGAAGATGCTTTTCTTTGCTGCCCAATCAGTCACAGCTCTTTAATATAATTCCGTACAATGCAGTGCTGCATTGTACATGAGGTCACTAAGGGACCGCCCACAATACCAGCTGCAAGGAGAGTGAGGTATAATGTAAGTATATTACCCTATTCATTATCCTCTAGGAAAGAAAAGAGCAATAAACTAGGGATGCAACCAGCTAATCGATAATGAGAATAGTTGCAACTATTCTCATTATCGATTAGTTGGTTGGATCCCCTAGCTCTCTCCTCCACGCTGGGTGTAGGGCACAGCAAGCAGTGGGCGGGTGCAATAGCCAGCCCGCTATTGCAATTTGAAATGGCCAATAGTAGGCTGGCTATTGCACCAACCCACTACCTGCTGTATTTACATTCAGCTGCCGTCTGTGGAATTTTGACTGACCAGTCTAGGGGAATAGTGATCAGTCTTACTGGATTTGACTGATTGCGGTCTTCCTCCATGAGGAATCTTATGTCTTTATGTGAGTATATGTGTGTATTGCATTGTAGGATCATACCTTATTACCCAACTGCCCCCTAATATGTACCACCACTGTAAATCCTTGTGACAGAGGATTATTATAATAGGTATACAATAGGGATGCACCAGTACCAGTTTTTCGGTATCGAGTACCAATATTTTTCCCCCCCAGTACTCGCCAATACCGATGCCGGAAGTCCCATTTAAGCAAGCCAGGTAGCATGTAGTGATTCGCCGCACAGCTTCCTGATTAGCCGGGTGGCGAGTCATTACACTGCGCCCAGCTTCCTGATTGGCTGGGAAGCCGGCTCCATGCTCCCTGGTGACGAGGAAGCATGGAGCCGGCTTTCTGGCAAATCTGGAAGGGGGGGGGGGCAGATAGTGACTCGAGCGCCTAGCGTTCTGATCGGCCAGCTTCCCGAGCAATCGGGAATCTGGGCGGTGAGACATTAGAAGGTGCCCGGCTTCCTGATTGGCTGGGAAGCCAGCTCCCTGGTGACGAGGGAGCATGGAGCCTGCTTCCTGGCCAATCAGGAAGCTGGGCAGAGTGTAATGACTCGCCTCACCGAAGTTCCGGGGTCGGATTAGGCATCGGGAGTATTTGGGCGAGTAAGAGTACACGACCAAATAGTAGTTATCGGCACCGATACTCGTATCTGTGCATCCCTAGTATACAGGTGCCTTTGTTTTGTTTTCCCCAAAGGAAAGGGTGTATCACTCATAAATGAAGAAGAATTTCCCACTTTAAAATGTTATGCAGGTAAACCTTCTTTTTGGATTCTTAAGTGCTAAAGCTTTGGTTCTGTGTGACCTGAGCATGTCGAGCTAGAAATCAATAAATCATGAGGAGGATACCTCTGTGCATCGCTGCTAGCTGCAGTAGGCTTTAGCCCCCTTGTCTGCTAGCTTACATTTAGGCCGTTTTCACACAGGCGGCAGGCTCTGCTGCCCCTCCAGAAAGCAATCCATGGTGGAACGCTTTTCAGAGGGTGGCTGAGCAATGCATTCAGGAGGAGATACTGCTGCTTCCTTAATGACTGTTGGTTTTTATCTCATGGAGGATTTTACATTGAAAAACTGCACCACAGCTAACTGCATGCAAGTGTTTGGCACATGGTTGCAACACGGTCCCATTGACTTTAACCACACCACAGAGCAAAACATTGCAGCCACGGCAATGTGTACGGTCCTGAGTGGCGCCATGTTACCTTGTAGGTGGGTGGTCAGGCGGAGGTAAAAACACAGATGAACTCTGGTTGCCTGTGTGAACCAAGTTTGATCTAAGCAATGTAAAGATAATACAACAGGCTTTGTTGTACAGCAAAATGCTGTAATTCATAGTAACCATAAGATTTTATACCTTATCAATTCCTAAACTGTGACTTGAATGGATAGCCTTTTATTTTTGTTAAACTACTCAACCACTTCCACTATCAGATCTTTGATCTTTATAACATAAAGGCCAATCATTCTGTAGTCCATGGTAAGACCAGGAAGTGCGCAGAGGACACCGGACAGGTCTGAATTTCTGACAGGATCAATAGGTATTCTTTTTTGCACCAGATCTAACAAAACACTTTCAATGGTATAGTTAACAGACCAAAGGGAGCAAATAAGAGAAGTTCATTGTTAGGGTTGCATGTACTTTAAACAAACCCATATACATACCTGTATGCATGACTCGCACAAAGAAGAAATATCTATATATAGCTTTGAAATTATTTGTACGCGGTTTAATATTAGGAGAGCTTTGTGGTCTGTTGTATTTTAATACTTTTAATTTGTACTATAATTTTTGTTTAATTACAGGAAGTAAGTGCCTTTGGAGAGAATGGGGAAGGAGACGACATGGACACTTGGGCAGTGCAGTGTAGCGACAGTGTTTGGGACCGTGAAGACACAGTGCGTTTCAAGCATGTTGGAACCAGCATGTACCTGACCGTTACAGGCGAACAATACAGTCATCCAATCCGAGGACAGAGAGAAGTACATGGCATGACAAGTGCCAATGCTCACAACTACTGGAAGGTGATGGAGGGTGTGTTCATCAAACCAAGCCTCCCTCCAGGGGCAGGAAGGCATGATGAGCTATGAAATAAATGTGGAGTTCTGGTTGAAGACCATATTGATAAATGCTGACTTGAAGATTTGCTCGTCCACTGGATTGCCTTGATACAGACCAGTGGGACTGGACTATTTTGTTACATTTTTCTAAGAGTTGGAACACTGCACATGTACACAGTTGAGCAAGAATGTGTTCTATGTAAAAATTCATAATTCAGAAACCTATGCTAAGAAAGATATAGAGGCTGCTGACACTGAGCCCTCATTTTAATAATAACAGCGTCCTGTCTGGTATGCACTAACTGCTTTAATACTTTTGCATCACTGACCCTGAACAAGTATAGAAATCGGGCATTCTGATTTTTTTTTTTTACTTGCTGAGGGTCAGGTTGTAAGGGGTGTGAATTGAATTGAATGACAGATTTATTTGTCCTTTGAGACTACATGTATATTCGTTCTGTGCGAATGGGGCAAAAACGGATGTTCTGAGTATATTTTCTTTCCAGGTCAAATGTAATATCAGGAAAATAACTCATTATGACCACTAGATGAAGATATTAGGAAATAGGTATTTATTTCCTATGGTCCTCTGCTTCTTTTAGTGGCCATAATGTGGTATTTGCCTGATTCACTCTTATCATATGAATGGATTATGTTCGGCCTAGAAAGAAAATATACTAATAACATTCATTTTTGCTCCCATTTGCACAAAACAAATTTGAATGCAGTGTCGCAGGGCGAATGATTCTGCACATTTTTTTTTATAAATACACTCCTTTGTGTTGAAGCCAGAGACAGCCAGCTAACTAGCAAGGAGGTCAGAAATAGCAGCCTCCACTTTTGTCTCAGCAGAGGTTACTTTAAAGGCTAGGATCACACAAGCAGATTTTAGGGCACATCACATGCCCAAGAAAATACCTTAATACAGCACGAATGACAAATGAATGACACTGGCACACAACTGTCTTTAAAAGAGAACTATGGCCCAACCATTTTTTTGCCATAGTTCTCTTTAGGGTCACAGGAGAACATATACTAATGTCCTCCTGTGACCCTAAACTCAGCATATAGCAGTCTACTGCCCGCTATATGCTGACAGTGCAGAGCTCAGCCGCTACGGATCCCGACAATAGTGACGGGATCCACCCCGCTTCCTGATTGACTCTGTAGAGCCAGCTGTGCCTGCCCCCTCTTCCGTCTGTCCCTCCAGTCAGCGCTGGAGGATTGGAGCAGGGAGGGGGGATAATCCCTGCAGGAAGCAGTGACTGGCAGTCACCACACTCTGCAGGGAGAAGATCGGGAACTGAGCGATCAGTGGTATGTGATCACTCAATTCTCCATCAATAGAGCCGACCTATGACAGCTTCAGTGTCACACATCGGCTCTAATTATGAGGATATATTATGGGGAGTGTATTTCACTCTCCCCATTATTCTTCCTTTTGAAAAATGTCCATAAACAAAAAAAAAACAGTGAACACAGAGGAATATGCAGGATTAACATAGGGGCTACTGGATTAACATAGGGGCTACTGGAGCGCTAGCTCCAGGCCCACCACTGAAAATATGCCCTGCTGGCCCGGATAGCCTCGGTATGCATGATGGCAATGCAGGCTGGCCGGGCTGAACACAATTAGGCAGAGGCGTTGAGAGCTTTCTAATCAGGCATATTAGGCAGGAGCTCGTTGGGGCCCCAGTGAGGAGCGAGCGGACACCTAATTAGAGAGCCGCCTCTACTGCTTCCCATCCGACAGCACCAGGCCCATGATGGTCTTAATCTGGCCCTGGGAATATGTACTGATTGTTGTGTTCAGTGGTGTAGAGCATGTCCAGAATATGCTTCAATACGCAGTGCTGCCTTTCTTCATTCAAAATGTGACCATCTTCTGTTAATGAGAAGGATGTGCACTAGAAGCTGTGTGAACAAAGCCTTCCTGTTCACTGTATCTAGATCAGAAATCAGATTCTTATTCCTCATCCCCCTTATAGGGGTATGGTACACAACCCTGTTTAATGGCAAACCGATAAATACGTAACTGAAAGAGAGAGGAAAAAAATGATGTATATAATATTTGTCATTGTGGTCAGCCAGTTTTGTGATTTCAAACACTTCTGCCACACGGTGCAGCCAGGAAGATCTCTCTACTACTTCCCAGATCACATAATTGGGAACAAGACAAAAGGTATAATGCTGATTTTACCACCCAATGAGCAGCCTGCAAACAGTGAGAAGACCTATGCAGCTGTAAAGGTGGCCATACACTCTACAACCATCGCAAGACTTTAGTCTTGCGATGGTTGTAAAGGGATTAAAAAAACTTACGATCTGCCTATCTTGGACAGGCAGATCGCACTCTCAATCATCGCAAGCCCGCCCTCCTGAGGGGCGGGTTTCCGATGACCGCAATGCTGAACGGGCAGTGTGCGCGTGCGCACACCGGCCCGTTCAGCATTTATCTTCCGAGCACCGTTCTAACCAGCCGAGAATCGTACGATTCCCGGCTGGTTTTCGAACATGCTGGTTCGACAGAAGACGTGCGACCGTACAGTAGAAACGGTCGCACGTCTCCGTTCACACTGCTCGATTATCGTACGAAAACCCGATCGCATACGATTATCGTACGATAATCGTGCAGTGTATGGGCACCTTAATGCTAAACTGGGAAGTGTGTCGCCTGCCAGGCGTGTATCAAACACAAGATCAGTGGTACACAATCACAAATCCTTTTGCAGGCAAATGTATTTGGCTACCTGCCTGAAGTTCAGCTTTAAAAAGAAACAGTTTATTGCACTTGTTATGTGTTAAAATGTGTTGGAGGTATACACTGGTTTAAAGTATATGAAGGATGTAAAAAAACAGATAATATATGGACGTTGGTTGAGAGGGAGTCTTCATTTGTGTATGAATGCCAATTTAACAGCAACACATAGGCTAAAGAATTGTTTATGGGGACGCTGTAGTAGACATTCGCATGTGTTGTTTTGGGTGAAGAAGTTTCAAGAAACTGAAATTCCACTACAGCGTCCCCATAAACATTCTTTAGTCAATAATGGATTTCCTTAGGTGCGCAACCCTCTTTCACCAGAAATTCAATTACAGCTCGTTGTTTTAGCCGCAAATCCATGGTTCTAATCACTCAATCTGAAAAAGGAAAGCATACATGAGTGGGGGTAAGGACACCTCTATAACATGGTACATGAATATTCACAGTCACTCTAGTACAGTGGTTCTCAACCTTTCTAGGGCCGGGACCCCTTGGTAACATTTGCCAAGTTGTGGTGACCCCCCCAACTGTAAAATTTAGAGATGCACCAATACTAGTATCTGTGCAGGCTCTTAGGAGGCTATGCGGACTCTCAGGTTCCTAGTGGAACTCTGTTGGCATCCAGTGCTACCTCTGAGGTGCCCAGCTGCGAGCTCTGTGGTGATCAAGCACTCAACTCCCCTCACTCCTGCCTGTTCCCCTCTCTCTGATCTGCTGCAGCGCCATCTAGGAGAACTGACACTGCTGTGCGGTGAGGAGGCTGAGGAGCCTCTTACCTAGAGCAGCACAAGGCATGTGGGGACCGCCTCAACTGTGGGTCGTGACCCACAGGTTAAGAATCACTGCTCTAGTAGATCTCAAATTATATGACTTTTTGATTGACCCTCGTATATATGAAGATTTTGTATTTCTATGTTTGTGCTACAATAGCAACTTCCACTACAGCTAGTAGTGGGAAATATAAAGGGAAACTGTCGAAAAAGGAAATCGCCTGAGGTTGCTAAGCTCTCTAGTTGCCTGGCTGTTATGCAGATGATTTCCTGCAATATTTTTACTTTGCTGTCACAGAACAAGTATAGATGTACAGATTTCTGACTTTTCCCTGACAATCATTTGCTGCATGCTTGTTCTTGATGCGTGACCAGGCCACACACACGGATCATACGAATTATCACAGGAAGACCATCAATGGCAGCCCTCTTATTTCTCTGATGACATTTACGCTTAAATGTCTGTCTTGGATTTTCCTCTTGTTTTCTTGATACTATCATTTGGAGCAGAATTTGGTGAAAGGATGCACGGTGCACCAACAGAAAGTTAAAGCAGTTATAAATGGGTTATGCATGGCAGTAGTGCCCCTAGAGGGTGCTGACAAATACTGGAAATTCCTATACTCATCACCACCATCTAGGGGCGCTACTGCCATGCGAATGGCAGTTTTATACATGAAACCTAAATGGATGCCTCAGACTTATTAAAAGCCTGGTCAGGCATAGTCTGATACAAACAACAAATAAGTAACTAATTCAGCCATCACTCATGACACTGGCTCTGTAGAGAGTGCTTTTCCAAGAGGTTGGTGTTCAATGTGTTGGAAACCTTTTTGTGACCTGTAGTAGATCTTTTCATTTTCTATGGAGAATGAAACTTTCACAATGTTCGGGTTGCACCCATCTGTAGACTAAAGGTGCCCATACACCTTACGATTATCGGACGAAACTTTTTGTCCGATGATCGAACCGTCGTACGATTTTCGTACGACGGCCCCATCCTGCCCCGATGATCGCAAGATTAATTTAGCCGTAATTAACTAAAAGCACCTGGACGATATGCGGTAAATGATTTGCCGTATTTTCGTTAGCGCAAGCGCAGTGTAGATCGTACGACTTTTGACGGACGGAAACGCCAGCAACCTTACGAAAATCGTACGATCTAGCAAAGTTTTCAAACATGCTTGACCGCCAAAAGTCGTACGATTGTACAGTACTATCGGTCGGGCACTCTATTCACACGTTACGATTGTCGTACGAAAAGTCGATCGCATACGATTTCGTACGATAATCGTAAGGTGTATGGGCACCTTTTAATAGGGAACAATACTGCAATATCTTGGTGTGTGACTCATTGGAGGACATCTACCCAAACAGTAATGAATTTGTACATGGTAAAACAAAGCCCACTGAATTGTTTTCTTATCACATGGCCTGTATATAATAAAGTTGTCAAATACTTATTTTACTCATTTAGCAATTTATTCAGTTTTGTCAAATCGAATGTGCAGCCACAACGAACCATTTGGCATACAATTGTGAGACCAGGTAATAAAGTTTGGAAGATAGTCATGATCAGTGTTTGGGGAGGGATTACTGGTGTCTAGAATCCCCCTAAAAGTGCCCTCTCTCATCCGCTGGACATGAAGTGCTGTCTCTTTCAGGAAAGCAA